TTTAATGCCCTCGTATAAGCACAATCCTGGCATAGACAATTCATCTTCAGACCTTTTGTTACAGAAATAACTTCTATTCTCCTCACATGCATATGGAGACAAGGAAAAAAACAAAGAAACAAACAAATAAAAAACAAAACAAAACAAAACAAAACCAAAAAAAACCCCAACCCTACAACATGTTTTCTGTTCTGTCAGCAAAACCAGAGGAAACTTACACCAGAGCATAAAGCAGATAACAGGCAAAGTCAGGAAGCAAAAACTCTCTCAACACAATGCTCTGCAACCCTGGGGCAGGGATGAAAGTACTTAAGCTTCGTATCTTGGTCATCGGTCAAGTGAAACCAGCCAACTCACTTCAGATAAATGCACATCAACAAAGCAGAAGTTGAATTAGAGCCACTGCCAAGGTTTCTCTGGGAGTTGTGCTGCAGAAAAGTGCAGTAGGGAGGGATCCAGGCTCAGTTCAGGGGTTGCTGAGCCTTTCCCAGGAGCAGTTGAGTGTGTCTCCAAATTTAAGATTAAGATCTTGGCCTTCCTACAAAATTATCCTTGTGTAAATTTTCTGGCTTTTCCATCTTACCTTTCCAACACCAACTTTTATGGACCTTTCTGCCCTGTGCCCTGCTCCTGCCTTTCCATTTTCTTTGACTACTACCAGACTCCAAAGTGGAGGTCTTCTCCCTTCTCTCCAGAGGCAGCTAGTGTTCACCCCACACATTTTTAATTGCCCTGCAATACTTACTGTGTCTGTGATGCATTTGGGAATTATTTTTTTCACATAGGAGGGAGCTTTCAGTCCCCTCTGGTGCCATCACATCTGCCAGACTTGTGGTCCCCGAAGGCTAGCTCAGATCTCTGTAACAATTCAACACTCCGCTTATTTACTGTCCTGACTTACCTGAGTTTATTTCTGGAATGTCCTTTCTAAGCTGCCCTCCATCAACATCATCAACTATCAAAAGAAATAATACACCTAAGTTAGTGACTAAATGCCATGAGGTGATATAATTCCCCACTTGATGACTGATAGGCTTCCAGTCACATAGAAATATTACATCCTTACCTCTGTCTTCAACAGATTTTTGGATCTGAAACATAGAAAGTACAGTTTCAAAATCACAGACAAATGAAGTGAAATCTCACCCTGATCCCAAAGCAAAAAATGGAGGAGCAGGTAGGAATACCGTAAAGGCAGAGGAGCCAGTAACCAGTGCTGTGAAACAACATATCCTCCAGAAATCCATTTCAGAAGATCATCTGGTGCTACCTGCCAGTGTAGATATAGTGTCCCGCACGTGAACAGCCTTCAGAATTACTGATAAGCATAAGCCATCAAAAAAGTTGAACTTTAAAAGGAAGAACAGTTTTTAATCTTACTAGATATATCTGTAAGCCAACCTGATATGCAATCTGCCTCCCTGTTTTATAACTATTCTTAGCATATTAACCCTTGTAGCAATCAGGAGCTATTGAAATATTTAAAATTTTTGTGACTTCTTCAGAGATAATCTCACTCTTTTCTTCTACTTTATGAACCATCCTGGCTCCATCGTGACATGAGATCACCAAAGCTGCTGAGTATGGAAGTAGCAACCGCTTCAAAAGAAGAGGCTCATTGTCTGCAACTTGAATAAATCACTTTAAGAGAAGGTTTGCTTGGTGGTTTTTTTGTGTTCCTGGAAACATCTTGGTAGATGCAAACAAATTTTTGTTTTCATCTGATTCTATGGATAAAACGTCATCTTCAGTTTAAAAATAGTGTTATTTTTGTACTGAACAGAATGCCAGCCATCAAGTTCCAGCAAAATGTGTTGGTTTGGGTTTCCTCAGGCGATCTTGAAGAATTTGTCTCTCAGAGTAGAAATACAGTGAGGGGTTCTGGTTTGGTCCCACTCACATGCCTATGAAGCCATGTGCTCCAGTGTTTTGCATGGGAATCCCACCCAGGCCTTTCCCTGTGAACACAAATCACGTGGACCAGGGTGAAGCAGGGCAGGAGAAAGGCCCCTTGGTGAGAAAGCAAGAGCAGGGCTGAGTTTTGCCTCCAGCTATTCAGAGGATTTCTTCTCCTGGCAGCCCCATGCAGGGGTTTTGCACGCTCCTGCAGCTCTCTTGCTTCCACACACTTCCCGCACCTCCTCCTCCTCCTCCCATCTTCACACCACTGCTGCTACCTTTGCCTCCCCTTTGCTCACTTGCCCAGCATCACGCTGCACCTCCATCCTTCAGAGGAAGGACTGTCCTGGTCTGGCTGCGAAGCGGGGAAATAGGAGATATTCAGCGGGGAACTCCCTGGACATGCTTTGCAGCCTGCTGACAGTCTTTCCTCCCAGCCTGGGAGACCCCAGGTGTTGGGCACTGCAAGAAGTAGGAGGGTTGTTATGGGACAGGATGGGAGCAGGTGCACCAGGCTGTGGTGGGGGGGGCAGGACTGGTCACCTTGAGAGCCTGGGGGTGGTGGGATCTTGATGGGTTGCACAGTCAGTATTGTTACCTGTATGGGGCATCCAGATCAGCCCAGTGGGATGGGAGAGGGGAGTGAGGTACCAGTGAGTGCAAAGCAGGAGTTAATCCATGTGCCTCATCAGCATCTTTCATCCAGAGGCATGATCACAAACCATCCCATAAAACCACATCCACAAGAGAGGAAACAAATTGAATTCACCAAAAAGCATCCATCGGTTCCCAGCCCATCTGTCACAGGAGCGGCAGAATCAGGGGTTACAGGGAGAGAAATTGCCAAATCAGCCTCCTGAAACACAACTTGCAGGGGAAGAAAATCCGCTAATGGCCAGCTGGCACAAGCCAGCCCTGATTCCAGGACTCAAGGGCATAGACCAAAAAAAGAGGAACGGATTTGCTTCCTTGTCTCCCAGTCTGTAAAACTTCCACCCTCTTTAGACATGAAGGTGATGGCAAATGAGTGTCACCGTTTAAAGTTGGGTGGGCAATTAAAGCAGACGACAGATGCTCTCTATTAACACTTTCCTTCCCCAAAAGGGAAAGGAAAGGAGAAAAGGGAGAGAGACTTACAAAACAATCAAAACAATTTTAATAAAACAATAACAATGGAAAAAAGAGTATAATAATATTGATACTAATACTACTACTAATAGAATAAAAATACACCAAACCAATATCGAGCTTCCCAATGATGATCATGGGACCACACTCCGACACAGCAGGGTGGGCACCTGGATGTCCCGGACTGGACTCAGCAGCAGACGGGAACCAGATTCAGGAATACACGGATCGGGGTCAGAGGCAGGAGAACGACCAGAGTCCTACAGCAATGCCGGCCATGAAAAAAGAAGAGCCAATCCTTGTGATCCCACAGCTTTATACTGAATGTGACACATATGGGATGGAATACTTCGTTAGTCAATTTTTGGTTACCTGTCCTGTCTGCTCCTTCCCACAGGCACGACCCCTTTACACCTTTTCATTTGTGGAGTGTAAGAGACCCAGCAGTGACCTGGGTTCCCCCAAGGATAAGTATAAATACGGGCTTTTCTACTGTTACCTTGGTAACAACTATAAATATCAAGCGTTACCAATTCTAAAAGCAGACACTGTCTGAAAAACATGTAGTCAACTTCAAAAAGTGCAGTTACTTAGAAGAAACTTAATGGAAGGAAAATCTACTGAAGGAGAATTGGTCCTGTTTTAGTCAAAACCAGGACAATGAGATAGAGAGAAGTGGTTGATTCATTAAATGCTGCTTCTTACTGATACCCACTGCAGGCCAGCAGCTTTGTGTCCAGCCCATAAGGTTGCTCTTCATACACACACAAGAGGAGTCTGATCACCATCACAGTTTGATGACTTCATTCCTGACTTTTTGCAGGTCTAAAGGACCTGGAGATCATCTGGCTTCACATTAATTCTTGCATTTTTAGCCTCAGAAATGGGTTGTCTTCCTTAAACAATTCTCTTTTGAGCTTCCAGTCAATATCCATAGGCAATATCCATCCATAAGTGCAGTGACTATCATCTCTAACATCATCTCAGTCAAGCATGACTGGTTTTAAATCATCCATAATACTTTTGAATGACTGCATCCAAACCTAGCTATGACATTGATGTTTTCTAAGCAATATGAAAAATAAAGGGTGGTGAAGATCTCACTAGAACCTTTATTAAAAGCCACTAGACTATCTGAATGGATTTAATGGGAACTTGAACCATGTTTTGTTGTTGAGATGAACTCCAGGGCTTCTGTGAAATCATTTCGATGTGTTAATGCTGTAGTAAGATCCTTAGCAAAAAAAAATGCAAATAGGAGCATGTGATAATAATATTCAAAGAGTAGTGTTTGCATTTATATCCCCCAGAAAACAAGGGCATCATTCTGAAGAGAGAAAATGCTGGTGGTTTATTTCTTGTAGTTACATAGCTATTTGTTGTGATTTAAATTTTTTCCTGATTACATCACAACATCAGCCAAGATCTAGTTGGTAACTGTGGTCCTGATGTGCAAGGTCCAATATGCAAGGTCCTGTAGAAACCCAAAGTGTATAGGCAGTCCATACAGAGCTTAAGACACCTTGCCTATTAAAAAAAAAAAAAAGAACTTTCAGGACTTAAAGTCATTTGGAAGCTTGAGGGTATTTCAGTGTGGCAGGAATCTAGCATGGTCCCATCCCTAAAACTCTTCACATTGCTAGCAGATGAATTTTGAACTCTGGCACAGACACTCATGCTTATTTTTGCCTTTTCCCTCTATATGCTTCAACTTAATCCTTTAAAAGAAAGTCTTGCTTTTCCTTCGATGCCCTCCCCTTACCATGTGGCTTTTCACTTACAATTAAGGCATTACCACTGGGAAAACCAGCATGGATTTCAGTGCCCATGGAGGATCAAAATGAACTTGTTTCCAGCTCTATAAAGCTCCCGTTTCCATACGTGACACTCAGGGAACAGCAGCTGCTAACCTGCATTAAGCACTGATGCAACAACCGACTTTTCTAGTACAGCACCGCTACCCATCTTGAAGGATGGAAGCCTGTTACTCTCAAGATAAATTTAATGCCACTACATGTGATGCCACGTCTACGGTCATCGTCACAATTCAGGCATTTACTGGCATGTGGATAAATGCTTTCATTGTTTCTGTTCTTGGTATTGCTTGGGTCAAAAAGAAAAGCTTTAACTCTAATGAGAAGATCTTGCTGTTTCTGGGATGCTGCAGGTTTTGGTATTTCTGCAACACATGGGTATATTTCTTTCTTTCAATGTTTTATCCTTGGTGCCTTTATGTTTACCCCATACCCCAACTATTTGCAACTATTCAAAGCTTTTTAAATGCTTCCAACGTATGGGTTTCTGCCTGCCTTTGTGTTTTTTGTTGTATAAAAATTGCAAATTTCAGGCACACCTTCTTCTTCTACCTGAAAGTAAAAATTGACAGGATTGTGCCATGGCTGTTGTTGGGTTCAGTGTTTTTATCTCTGGTCATGTGCATCCTTGTCTACAACATCACTGAAAAAATGTACTATAACAATCTCAATTCCACCACCTTAGGAAATTTCTGGAAAAGTGAGAATGGATTAATATTTTTTCCTTTTTTTTTTATCAATGGCTTCGGATTTGCCACTGCATTCACAGCAGTAATCTTTTCTGCCCTTCTTCTCTTATTTTCTGTCTATAACAATCTCAATTCCACCACCTTAGGAAATTTCTGGAAAAGTGAGAATGGATTAATATTTTTTCCCTTTTTTTTTTTTATCAATGGCTTTGGATTTGCCACTGCATTCACGGCAGTAATCTTTTCTGCCCTTCTCCTCCTGTTTTCTGTCTGGACCACAAACACAAGATGCAGACAAACTCAGTGAAGAACCTCAGCATGGATGCCCATATCAAAGCCATGAAATCTGTTCTGTCCTTCTTCTTTACCTGCAGCATTAACTTTACATGTTTGATCTTGGCATTGATTTATGCCACGAAGGAGGAAAATCCCATGCTGTTTCTCATTTCAGTATTTCAGGATGCTTTTCTGGCTGTTCATTCCCTTATTCTGATTTTCAGCAATCCCAAACTGGAAAAGACACTGCTGAAGACTCTGCGATGTGTGAAGTGCAAGGTTTGAGTGAGGTAGGAACTGTAATAAAAGCTGGAGCCCATTAAAAATGTTGATATTTTATTACAAAAAACAAGTAATTTAATCTCTGATGCAACTCTCCTGCTAATGTATATGATATAGATGGTTTATCTTCACCATCTAAGTTAAGAAAACTTCATTAAAAGTCTTCAAACTACATTACTATGAGTTAAATTATTATTATTATAATTTGATTTAGATAATTATTTGAGTTATATTATTGTCAATAACAAAATCATTTAGACTTGGTACATGGGCTAGTTGTAAAAGGGGAATAACAATACTGCAAACCTAAAAACACTTTGGTATTTGCTGATTGAAACTGCTTGACTAAACAACATATTTAGATCTATTTTGTTTTACATTTATTTCTGCTGTGGATGTGTACTTTGTAATATTATGAGTTGTATCACCATTTTGCATTGGGTTATAACTTATGTGTGAATCATTATTTTTCACCAGAGGTGGTTACCAATTTACAAACAGCAATGCAGAATGGCCTTGGGGTGTTCAGGTGGGGTGGAGACCCTACGTCCCATGCCAGCCTTACGTGTCCTCTCTCTGCCCCACTTCATGCAAAACCACGATTTCCCCTGCTCTGTGTGACTGCTCTCCTGCTCTGCTTTTACTTTTTTTATGAGCTCTGCTTTTACCAATGGACTCTGGCTCGGTAAAACACCGAGGAAGGCGGGCTTTGCGCAAAGTGCGGTGTGGAATAAAGTCATGCTTTCATCTTGTAGTGACCCACGAGCAGATATATGGGGTGTTTGTGCCAGGTGCTGGCTGCTGGGGGGTCCATGGAAGTCTCTGTGAGGCAAGGTCAAGGCTGCTCCATGCTGGGGAAAGCCAGTTCCAGCTGGCTCCAATGGACCCACCGTAGGACACAATTCAGCCCATCAGCAATGCTGGTGGCTCCTCTGGGAAAATATATTTAAGAAAGGGCAAAAACACTGCTCGGTAGTGAGACGTGAGGAAAATTGTGAGAACTAGTCCTGCAACAAACAGGGTCAGAGAAGGAGGAGGAGGAGGTGCTGCAGGCCCGGAGCAGAGATTCCCCCCAGCCCCTGGGGCAGCCCACGGTGAGGCCGGCTGTCCCCCGGCAGCCCACGGAGGCCCACGCTGGAGCAGGGTCCTGGCAGGGCCTGTGGCCCCGTGGGGAGAGTCATCTCAGATGTAGCATCAGCCCTACTGGACATGGATTCACTCTATAAGAAGCGGTCGAGTTTTTTCTCTGATGCATTTTTGAGAACAACCTTTAATGTATTTCTACTAGCTGAAGACTTCTCAGATCTTCTTTTCCCCTGATAAAGGAGATGTGGTCATCTTATAGGACGACAGTGTGAAGGATTCACTGGTTTCTACGTACTGTCTATTAGAAATCAACGCAGAGGAAGAGTTTCTGCTCAGAGAACATGAGTTGGCCCTGGGATCCTAATTTGAAAAGTTGACGTGAAGGCAAAAAAGCTTAGTTTGTAAGTTTTTTATTTTAAGGGTTGCATTTTCTGTGGGCAAAAGAGCACTCCCTCTTCCTCTCCATCCTCGCAAAAATGAAAGAAGAAGAGATTAATAAGAAAGTAAAAGAAAGTGGTTTTGAATCATTAGCTTTCACTCTTTTTTTGGTTTTTCCTGCAGCAGTAAAGCAAAAAAGTTACATTCATGTTGTTCCACTAAAAAGAAAGCATTTGAGTCATCTGATCAAAATTAGACACTCAGACCACATTGCCTTTAGCTGTTTGCCTTTAGCTGCAATTGCACTTTTAGATCAGCTGCCAAACTCCACTGACTCCCACTTCCACAGTATGAGATGTTCTGTGCCATCCCACATCCCAATGGAGGGAGGTCTTAAACATCTCATCTGGACACATCTACCTGGCTGAAAGGCCTTTAAAGGACAGGCACCACCACACCTCCCTTCTTTCCCTGCTGTTGCTCATGCAGTTGATTCTTCAACATGAAAGTCCTAATTGCTTTCACAAAAAGACCATGGAAGATCCATCTTACTCCCTACATCCCATGCAACGTCATCCCTCAAAACCTCACATTCCACAAGACTCAGCAGGCAAAACCAACATCTTGCAGATGTTATCATGCAAAAGAATGCAGCCCCAGCAAACCATGCTGAAGATACCATCTTCCATCTCTGTGAAACCCCTCTGAACACGTTGTCCAACACCCTCCTATGCAGCAGTCCCACCCAGCTGGCACTGGAGGAGACAGGTTATAAAACAGCACAGCCACAGTGCACAGCCCATATGCTAAAGTTGCTCTCTAGAGAGATGCAATGATGTGGCCAATCCTGAGAAAAATGTCCCTCAACTACAGGACACTTCACCAGTTGGTCTCAGGGCTGGAGACAAGCCTATTTAGTTTATCAGTGTGGCAATAGGCACTGTGTCCAACGTACGTCTCCACTTGCACATTCACTAATTCAAAAGCCAGGCCAACTGTGAATGGAGTTGACATTTGGGAAATGAAAATGGCAAAAGACAAAGTTGGGAGCTGGACTTGTTTGCCCAAACATAGGCATCTCAACTCGTCTGAGAAGTCCTAGGGTATCTGAAACATCTGCACGGGGTTGGGAGCTACAGCACAGGATCTTCTGGAGACCTGCAGGGTCAGTCTGGGTACTTGAGAGCATCTTGAGTGGCAGTAGACACCTCTGTGAAGATGGCTGAA